TATTCTAAACAAATCAGAAAAGACCTGAAACCAGGGGGAAAAAAAGGGAAAGAAAGAAAAAAGAAAAAAAAAAAAGAAAGAAAAAGTTAAAAACAAAACAAAACAAAAAAACAGAATATCACATATGATCAGGCTGGTGCATAGATCAGTGCCACACTCTAGATTTTGGGTGTATTTTGGTCTCTTAGAAGAAAGTGCCTCCCAAAATTTTGAGGAAAGAAAAATTTATATATGTACAAAAATAAGGGTTGATACGATGAAGGGATGGAATATGACTGTAAAGATGAAATAAAAAATTTTATAAAAGGAATTGATAAGAAGTTGTTTGCAAAAGGAGAGAAGAGGATTAAAAAAAAAAAAAGGGAGAGAATGTGATCAGGCAGGAGACTAGAACAAAGCCATACACTAGAGATTTAGGGTATATTTTGATCTGTTAGAAGAAACCGTATCTCAAAATTTTAAAGAGAGAACAACTTATATATATATGCCAAAAATAAGGGTAACTACTACAAAGGGATAGAATATGACTCTAAAAATGAAAAACAAAAATGTTTTTTAAAAAAAGGGATTGATAAGCTGTTGGTTGAAAAAGGGAAAAAGAAAAATTAAAAAAAAAATTGACTTTGAAAGACTAAAGAATCATGGTAAAAAGCCATGGATTCTAGGTGCAGTATTCCCCTAGCTCTGGAGTACTGCCGTTCTCATTGATCGGTAAACTTGGTCTTGGGTGGCTGTTCTTACTGATCTTCTGGGGGAGGGGCCTGTTGCTGTGGTTCCCAAATATCTTTGCTGGAGGTGGAATTGCCCTGCCCTTGCTGGTCTGGGCTACGTAATCTGCTTGGGTGTGCTCTCGACTCGGGAGCTTTTGTTCCCTGCAAGCTTTCGGTACATCTTTGGAGGACGAGAGTGAAAATGGCGGCCTCCCAATCTCCACCCCTGGAGGAGCCGCGAACTGGGGCCCCACTCCTCAGTGTGCCCCCAGAGAAAAGCAGTCAATCACTCCCGTCTCCCCGGTCTCCGACCACACTCCGTGCTCACCTGGCCTGTGACCGAGCGTTTCTATCTCTGGCACCCCACCCATGTGGAGTCACCAAACCCAGCAGATCCCTGCTGTGCGCTCCCGCACTGCTCCTCCCTGGGGAAGGGGAATCTCCCCAGGTCTGCTGTGTTGGGTCCCTGCTGGAGGAGCAGTGGCCCGGCTGGGCCGAGGATCACGGTTTATGGCAACCCGGAGCTGAGAGCCTGCTCCTCGGCTCCGTCTCTGCAGTCGGCTTCCCCACTCCGATACCTGGGAGCTCTGCTGCACTCAGGCACCCCCGGTCTTCCTGTGACCCCGAGGGTCCTGAGATCACACTGTCACACGATGGTTCCACCCCCCGCTTAGCCACGGGAGCAACATCCCTCAGCAGAGCAGACTTCTGAGAGTTCCGATTTTGTGCTCTGCTGCTCTATCATTTGCCAGAAGCGGCCGACAGAGGCCCCCTCTCCTGCCATCTATTCTCCCGAATATCGCCTCGGATTCACTTTTCTGCACGTCCTACCTTCCGGAAAGTGGTCGCTTTTCTGTTTAGAGAGTTGTTGCTATTCTTTTTTTCGATCTCCTGTTGAGTTTGTAGGTGTTCAGATTGGTTTGATCCCTATTCAGCTGAATTCCTGAGACCAGACGAAATCCAGGTCTCCTACTCCTCTGCCATCTTGCTCCGCCCCCTCATGATTGAATTTCTTATAATGCTTTAATTTTGATTATTTTGGAGTGTTCAAAAATTTGGCTTACTTGGCTAGATATAAGAACATAATCCTGGAATTGGCCTTTTCCCGTAAGTCTCAATATGAAGCTGTTTTCTTAGGATTTATTTCTTTTAAAAATCATGTTTCCTTTTGTCTTGGCTTCATGCTAGTTAATTGACATTTTATTCATTGAATTTTTATTGTAATGTTGCTATAATTTCTGTTTCAGATTATTCTGGTTTTGGCTCTGAGCTGCTCACATTATTTAAAAGTGCTGCTTTATATATTTACTTAAATGCCTACTTCATTATAGATACTTTGCTAGGTGCACACTAACTGTATAAACACAAACTGAGGCACATGGTGTCAAGCTAAGGGAGTGCTTCTGTGAAAGCAAAAAGGGCTGACCTTTAAGCGGAGCTAGAAAGATTGACTGGTAGACTGTTAAACGGCAGAGTACAGGTCAGGTACGGGATTCAGGTTAGCAGAAACTGCTTAATACAAAGATGCGGTGGCGGAAGGAAGTGCAGTACAACTAATGAAAGAAAGAAATAGTGCACTGCAATGGTGCGAATCAAAGAGGAGATAGTACAGACTCAGACGGGGGCCTGATTCACTCAGGACCTAAGAGCAATGGGAACCCCCTCAAGATTTTTTATTAGGAGACTACTGAAGAAAAGATTCATATTTTGAAAAGAATACTTGTCTAATATGTGTGTTCCTGAATAGACCGTAGGCTCCGCAAGTAGAAGGAGGAGATGTTGATCTCATCAAGTGCAATACAAGTAGGTTTTCAACAAATAGTAAATGTCGCTATTTAATAGCTCAGTGTCTGGCACGTGGTAAGTACTCATAATGTTGGTTGTGGTTTTCATTGATCTAGATTGGCCTTTGATATGGACAGTGGCTGCTTTAGAGTTAGAGGTTTCATGAAGTAGTTCAATCCAACAGTATCCACTGAAGACCTGTGATATACTTGGAAGAATCAGCAGCTAAATATATTAAAATTTCATCACTTTTTTTCTCATGTGCCCCAAAGATGTAGCAGAGCAGAAAAGTGATGGAGAATTCTGTAAATAAATCAGATTAGCCTACAGTGAGGTGAATAGGTGCTCCTGCTTCACACTATTCATTTTTTTCAGTTAGAGTTTCATGCCTGGTAAGATTGCTTTTATAGAACCATTTCTTCTGGAATTCTCAGGTAAAATTCCCTTTTCATAGTTCATTTGAAGTAATTTCAACCTTATTCCTCAGTTATATTAGTTTATTTTATATAAAGTGAGTTCCTTGTCATTTTTCATCCCAAAGACTAAAGATTGCTATTAGAAATATTTCTTCTGAAACTCTATAATCATTTTCATACTATAGCTTTAATATTTTACTTTTTTCAAGTGTTTATATGTGATGTGTTTTTTCTTAAAATGTACAGTATGTAGGTTATATCACCAATGACCTGGCCATTTTTTCTTTCCTCTTTAATAGTAGCCAGAACCACCATGTAGCACATAGTTGCTATTGTGCACATTAATAAAAAGTACCCCATCTGGTTGGACTAATTTACCAGGAAGGTCCCCTGCTTCTGATACCTTCTAAAGGGTGCCATCAGGGCCACTTTTCAGCTCCTGCTTGTGCCTTCAATGGGTGCCTGTAAGCCATGCAGAAACTGCACAGCTATACTTAGTGTCCCTAAATAGTAACTCAGTATAAGTTAGATATTGCTTATAAGCAACCAGATTATAGATAATCCTTTATAAACAAGGCAAACTATTTTAAAAAGTCAATCAGTTGTTCATTTATGTGTGTTAAATGTAACCTTCAGTTAAAACAATAATTGTATTTAACTTGTTTTCAGAACTTTGGTAAAATTGGATATATGGGGGGAAGTTGTCTTTTAAGAAAATTTTTTTCAAATACAGCTTAGATTCTTACTTTTTAATGTTCTCAGCTTTGAGTGCCTAGAAGTAAATTAAAAAAAAAATACATTCGTCTGTCTGTCTACTTAACTTTTTACTATGGAACTTTTTAAAAAAGATTTATTTATTTGAGAGAGAATGAGAGAGAGCATGGTGGGGAGGGGCAAAGGGCGAGGGAGAGGTAGAGAGAGAAAGTCTTAAGCAGACTCTATGCCGAGCTTGGAGCCTGATGCGGGGCTTGATCTCAGGACCCTGAGATCATGACCTGAGCTGAAACCAAGAGTTGGTTGCTTAACTGACTGTGCCACCCAGATGCCCCACTATGGAATGTTTTTAATGTATAGGAAAGCAAAGTGATGAAGCCTCAAGTATCTGTCATTTGGCTTCAGCAGTTGCCAGTTTATTGTTTTACCTGCTTCTTCCCACTTTTTCCATCACAAATTATTTTGAAGCAAATCCCAAATATTATGATTTTATTCTGAAACTTGTCAGTATCTACTCTGAAACATAGACTCTTTTAGTAATACAAGCACAGTTCATTATCACACCTAAAAAAAATGATAATATCAACCATCCAGTCAGTATTCAGACTTTGTTCCATAAGTGGTTTAAAATTGGTGTGTTGGAGTCAGAATCAAAATAAGTCTTGGGGCGCCTGGGTGGCTCGGTCGTTAAGCGTCCAACTCTTGGTTTCAGCTCAGGTCATGATCTCAGGGTCCTGGAATCCAGCTCAGCATTAGGCTTTCACTCAGAGTGGCGTCTGCTTGAGATTCTTTCGCTCCGTCTCCTTTTGCCCGTCCCCCTGGGTGTGCATGCATGCTCTCTTTCTCTAAAATAAATCTTTAAAAAAAAATCAAAACAAATCTCTGTAGTATAATAGGTCAATTTGTCTTTTGATTTACTATTAGTCTATAGCTTCCCTTACCCCTTTTCTCACATTTTATTTGTTGAAGAAAGGGTCATTTGACCACTTTCTGCATTTTGCTGATTAAATCTCTTGTGGTATCATTTAGGCTTAACAAGAATATTTTTAACTTATGTTTAAATATGATACCTGATCTCTATAGACTGTAAAAAATTTTTTTGTTTAAATGGAGAAATGAATGCTTAGTTATTGAAGAATGAAGGATTCCAAAGATTTTGTAAACATGAAAGGGAGGATCTGAAGAAAAGTCCATAAGCCTCAGAAAGCAGAGAATTTTTTAAAGCTGTGTTTATAGCTTTGTGTGATTGTTTTGATAACATAATTTGTTGCCATCTTAAAATATTATAAAACATTAGAATATAAAATTGTAGCAATAATACACTAGCTTGATTTTTTTAAAAACTAACATTTTTTATTTTTCATTTACAAAAAAGATACCAGGTGATCAGCACTCCAACAGATTTTTTTATGGTAATGGAATATGTGTCTGGTGGTGAATTATTTGACTACATCTGTAAACATGGCCGGGTGAGTAACTTACTATCTAGTACAATAAGCCCCTAAGCTAAAAAAGAGGGTAGTAGGAAATAGCAAACCACAAAAATATCTTCAAAGTCTGGGTTGCTTCTGTAATAAAGCCCAATTAAAGATACAGAATATTAGACGTCTTTTCTTTCTTAAAAAATACACATTTCAAGGGGCGCCTGGTAGTGTCAGTCGGTGGAGCATGTGACTCTTGATCTTGTGGTTGTAAGTTCGAGCCCCACATTGGGTGTAGAGATTGTTTAAAAATAAAATCTTTAAAAAAATACACCTTTTGGGGCACCTGGGTGCCTCATTCGGTTAAGTGTCTGCCTTCGGCTCAGGTCCTGATCCCAGGGTCCTGGGATGGAGCCCTGTGTTGGGTTCCCTGCTCAGAGGGGAAACTGCTTTTCCCCTCCCCCTGCCCCTACTCTCTTGCTCTGTCTCTCAGATAAATAAATAAAATCTTAAAAAGAAAAAAAACCTTTCAAAATACTGATTTTAGGGAACATGTTCCACTTAATTGCCAACATAATGTCAGTGCTTTTCAGAGTGAAAAATCTGTTCCATAACATTATGTTGAAGCTTCAAGGATTTCCTTTTCTTAGCACTTTCACATTAATTCTGTTTTACATTATGTTTTACTTGTTGATTGCCTAAAACATTGTGCACATTTAGTAATATTAATTGAAAATTAAATCTTACTACCTAGCAGCAAAGAAGAGCCTTGTTAACTTACATGTTGAACTCTAATGGAAGTTTTTGGTTTGTTTGTCTGATTTGTTGAGAATTCTAGCCTGATTCTAATTAGCTTGCTCAGTTACATTTAGGCTGATTATGAAACTAAAACTCTTGCTATGTACATGTCCCAAATATTCTTAGTGCAGCTTCTTTTATACTTGCTAGGTTGAAGAGGTGGAAGCAAGGCGGCTCTTTCAGCAAATTCTATCAGCTGTGGATTACTGTCATAGGCATATGGTGGTTCATCGAGACCTGAAACCAGAGAATGTGCTGTTGGATGCTCACATGAATGCCAAGATAGCTGATTTTGGTATGTAACTCCAAGGTTGTTCAGAAATGTACTAGTTGCCTTTTAAAGTGTGTCAGTAGCAACTGTTAAAGAAATATGAACTTGCAGTTTCAACTTTATAAATCTTGTACCTTGAAAAAAAGGGATTAATGCTTGTTCTATTCATTTAAACACAATTTTAAAAACGTACATGCTTCTAGAGAAGTTTAGAGGGCCAGTTTCAAGGTAAATCCATTTAATCTGCATTTCTTCCTGAAGGAAAACTTAACTGTCTTTTTTTTTTTTTTTTGGTGGGGGTCACAAACTCCTTTGAAAATCTAAATGAAAATATGGGCACTTCCCTTGATGAATGCACTTAAAGAGAAATACATGAAAATTGCATGCAGTTTTGAAGACTTACGGTCTTTCTGATTGGATCAAGGGTGGATTTCAGGGTAAAATCTAACCACGTGCTAAAAAGAATAGGAGTTTTTGTCAGGAGTAAAACAAAGAAACAAAAAACAAAATGAAATCTAAATGCACCAAACACTTTCTGGGGTAAACATACCTGGAAAGAGTACCATAGTAGGGTGTTTGGCAAAAGGATTAGGAAGTGAGAGGTTATAGAGAGAGAGATGGAAATGTGCCAGAGTTCAGTGTTGCTTATTTAAAATTTTTGCCTGTACCTTGTCTTTAATCTAAAAACTAGGAAACTAGTTTCCCTATTTCTCTTCCCTTCTCTAAATCGCAAAACTCTTTAGTATGATAGTTCAACTAGATTTTTGGTTCCATAGATTATTTTTTCTATGTTGAATTAAAGCTTTCCAAATTAAAAGCATTTGGAACATAATCTTTATAAATTGGAGCCTGATTTCTACTTAGAGATTTTTTAAAAAGGCCTTGAAAGCACAGGATAAAAAGTAATGGTCTCTATTTCATTCTTTCAACTGTAGAAATGGGTATATAATATTTTGATGCTTTTATGTTTGGAAAAGTTCATACAATTTGGAATAACCTCGTATTTATGAAGTGAATCAACATTTTCAAAAAAGATTTATTTATTTTAGAGCATGGGGGTCAGGGAAGGGCAGGGAAGAGGGGGAGAGAGAGAATCCCAAGCAGACTCCACGCTGAGCATGGAGCCCAACACGGGGCTTGATCCCAGGACCTTGAGATCATGACCTGAGCTGAAACCAAGAGTCAGGATGCTCAACCAACAGCCACCCAGGCGCCCCAAGTGAAGGAATTTAATTCCTATCATACATGATGTGCTTTATCTTTTTTGTTAGAGTGTAAGCACTTTAAAATGGTCTTCTAGTTTCTCAGGTGCTTTCCACTGTTTTAAAATAATTACAAAATATGATATATAAAACATTGAAGACTTGACATTTTTCTTCATGTATTTATCTACTTTTAAAAATATCTAGCACAAAGTAAATATTACTCTTATTTTCAGGATTGTCTAATATGATGTCAGATGGTGAATTTCTGAGAACTAGTTGTGGATCTCCAAATTATGCAGCACCGGAAGTCATCTCAGGCAGGTAATAATAGATCAGTGGAGAGTAAGCTCTTTATAATCTTTTGTTCATTCTAATAACATTTAATTAAAATATATTCTGTTCAGAGGATGAGATTGTTAACATAATAGGAACAAATTGTCCCTTTAATTTTTCCATTTTTGAAGAGAGAATAGGTATATGAAACAATTTTTTTAAACATTTGGTTTAGATTTTGTTATGAGTATATTTAAGGAGTTCTTCCATTAAAAAAATGACTGAAACAAATCTTGATTTTCTTCATTTTGGAAAAGTACAGATAAGAGAAAGCATTTGTTAAATTCAAGCTAGTGTCGTTATTTTCTTACCAGACATAGTCCTTAAATAATAATTTACATATTATTTTATAAGTTACCAAATAAAGTATTATTTTATGTTTTGTCTTTAGAAGAATGAGGTTTTTCAGGGACAGTATTGTCATTTCATGAAATTAAACTGTATAAGTAGAGGTTGGAACTTACTCATTGGTATATTCAAAAAACGTTTATACAGATTGCAGTGGTAAACCAAAGATTTTTTTTTACAGTGACCAATGTCTGATTTAAAAAGTTAACAGAATTCTCCAAGAGAAAATAAAGAAAAGGTATTATTGCAAGGAGCCAGGTATAGGAGTTTTGGACAAGTACAGCAAATGATATAAATGATGGACAGCAATTTTTTGAAATGGATTGTATTCTTTTAATTGGAATTGTAAAGATTTACTTTGTTACCTCAGACCCAGGTTTGAGTTTGTCAGTGGGGTGGGTATCAGAGGCATTTTAATACTGCAGAAAGGTCAGAGAAAAAAGGAATAATATTCCAGGCATAGGTTATGTGGAGCAAAGCTAATCTTAGTCCCATGAGCTAACCTAACAAGTGATTAGAATGAAAGTCACACTCAGGATAATGTGATATAGAACAAATAGTGTCAAAGATATCCTGCAGGACTAGTTTGGCACTTTAATGTTTCAAATACTCTTTAAAATAGGCATGTCAGGGATAAAAATTCTATTTTATATGCATTTTTTTCTTGTAGTTTTGTGGTTAAAAGGGTTTAGCCTAAACACTATAGTATTATTTTTTCAAGTTTATGGCCATTTACTTTGATGTTTCCATAAAAAAATCAACCATAGTAAGTTTTATATTTTTTTAATTAGTCAGTTAGTAGGTTCAGTGAGTTTGTGACAAATAAAGAAAAGTACCACTTTCTCTTGGAAAACTTGAATAGTAATTGTTGAGACCGATTCTCTATGGTGAGCAAGCATTGAGTGTTGGGGTGTGGCCATGGACTTCATAAAAGACTTGCTAATCAATATACACCAAGTCTATACCATGTGTATATAGAAGCAGGGTATATGTGGATGAGAAAAAGTGGCACTTGCATTCCAGGTTTGTGTTGTCATCTTTTTTCTTAGATTGTATGCAGGTCCTGAAGTTGATATTTGGAGCTGTGGTGTTATTTTGTATGCCCTTCTTTGTGGCACCCTCCCATTTGATGATGAGCATGTACCTACGTTATTTAAGAAGATCCGAGGGGGTGTTTTTTATATCCCAGAATATCTCAATCGTTCTGTTGCCACTCTCTTGATGCATATGCTGCAGGTTGACCCTCTGAAACGAGCGACCATCAAAGATATAAGGTGATTCTTCTTTTCATTACTGTTATGTACATTTTATAGTATTAATAGTACCACTAATTGAGTGCCTGCTTTATGTTAGACTCTGTAATACTTATTGTATAGGAATTTTGCTTTCCTTTTTACACAAACCTGATCATGTCACTCATCTTTTAAATATTTCAGGTTGTTTCCCATACTTTTTACTTGAGGTAGCAAATCCTCTGAGGCCCTTCCTCATGAGGCTCCATTTCCTACTCCTGGGGTCTCACTCCTGCACTCACCACCGCACCCATTGGTACCAGTGCTTCAGCTACACTCAGCTTTTCCTTCTTCCTCAAATATAACATATATTTTATGCCTTCATGTTCTAATTTATATTACTGCCTCTGATGCCATTTCTGACTTTTTTGACCTGACAGATTTCTGTTCATCCTTTAAAATTCTGCCTTCATAGGACCTCCTTTGTGAAATCAATTCGGATTCCCCTAGGCAATGTTAATTGCTTCCACTTTTCTGATTTCCACATTTGGTTTATGGTTTTATTTTTTCATTATCATTTCATATGTAGCTATTATTATTTCGTGTGTGTTTCACCAGTCCTAAATTGTAACTCCATAAGGGTAGAGAGAGTGTCTTGCTCACCTTGGTACACACAATGCTAGATGGCCCACAAATGTAGTATATGTTGAGAAACTATTTGAATAAATTTTATACATAATACAGACAGAGTTTTATGTATTTTACATATGGTTGATGAAATAAAGCATTAAAAGTTTTAAGATTTTGAATCCAAAAATAGCTGCTAGCACTGTGAAGGATTTCTTGTTATGTGAGAAACTTTGGAACTTGCAGTGGCTGGTGTTACTGTGAATATGACCTTTATATAGCACACACAAGCCACAATAATTCATTGCCTTCTACTCTTATCAGGTTATGTTTCTTAGAGGTTTTTTTGTTCTTACCTAACATTTCATCAGTTATTCATTTACAAACACATTCTTTTGCCATCTTTCCAGAATCTCTCCTCTTATCTTCATAAACCAGAATGGCTGTTTAGAGACCTATGACTCCTGGAATGTTTAAACGATGACATGGTTTTTTATGTGATTGCTGCCAATCTCTTAGACTGCAAGAAGGGGCTGATTCTTTTTGCATTTGTACACTGTTTTGTTCTCCCAGCCTTTCTTAAGCTCTCCAGGCCTCATGCATAAAATAAGTGTGTAATTATAAGTTAGTACCAACTATAGTTATGGAAATGCACTTAGCAGGAAAAAACCTTTTGTGTTCACAGTACTTGGTTTTTCTTTTTTTCTTTTCTTTTTAATAAGTAAGTTCTGCACCCAACATGGGGCTTGAATTCACAACCCCGAGGTCAAGAGTCACATGTTCTACTGACCTAGCCAGCTAGGCGCCTCAGTCACTTAATTGGCTTTTCCTTAGAAAGAAAATTACATATGCTTCCTGTGAGTTATTCATTCTGTAACTGGAAGCCTGCATCTCCCTCTCCCCTTCACCCATTTTGCCTATCCTCCCAACTCCCGCCCTCCAGTAGCCATTGGTTCTCTATAGGTCTGATGCTGCTTTTTGTTTATTAGTTTATTCATATCATTTTTTAGATTCCACCTATGAGTGAAATCACATGGTATTTATTTTCCCAGATTTATTTTACTTAGCACAGTACCCTCTAGGTCCATTCATTTTGTTGCAAATAGCACAATCTCATCTTTTCTTAAGGCTACACAGTACTCCATTGTATATGTATACCACATGTCCCTTACCATTTGTCTGTTGATAGACACTTAGGTTGCTTCCATATCTTAGCTATTGTAAATAATGCTGCAATAAAACATAGGAGTGCATATATTTTTTTGAATTAATGTTTTTTCCTCTGGATAAATAACCAGGGAATTATTGGATCATATAGTATTTCTTTTTTAAATTTTTTGAGGAACTTCCGTACTGTTTTTCACAGAGACTATACCAATTTACATTCCCACTAGCAGTGTGGGATTCCTTTTTCTCTGCATCCTTGTCAACACTATTATTTCTTGTCTTTTTTATTTTAGCCACTCTGACTGGTATAACATGGTATCTTATTGTGGTTTTGATTTGCATTTCCCTGATTACAGGTGTTGAGCATCTTTTCACTTGTCTGTTGGCAATCTGTATGTCTTCTTTGGAAAAATGTCTATTCAGGTCCTCTGCCTGTTTTTTAATTGTTTTTTTGTTTTGTTTTTTTGTTGAGTTGTGTAAATTCTTTATATATTTTGACCATTAACCCCTTATTGGATATATAATTTGCAAGTATCTTCTCCCATTTAGTAGGGTGTCTTTTTGTTTTGTTGATGGTTTCCTTCACTGTGCAAAAGCTTTTTATTTGATGTAGTCCTGATAGTTTATTTTTGCTTTTGTTCCCTTGCCTTAGGAGACATATTTAGAAAAATGTTATTACGGCTTGTATGAGAGATATTACTGCCTGTGTTTTTCCTAGGAATTTTATGGTTTCAGATCTCATATTAGAGATATGGTCTTTAGAGTTTATTTTTGTGTATGATGTTAAAAAGTGGTCCAGTTTCATTCTTTTACATATAGCTGTCCAGTTTTCCCAGCACCATTTATTGAAGAGACTATCTTTTCTTCATTGTATAATTCTTGCCTTTGTCATAGATTAATTGACCATATAAACATAGGTTTATTTCTGGGCTTTCTATTCTGTTCTGTTTATGTGTCTATTTTTGTGCCAGTACCACTGTTTTAATTATTATAGCTTTATATTATATCTTGAAATCTGGGATTGTGATACTTCCAGCTTTATTTTTCTTTCTCAAGATTGCTTTGGCTATTTGAGGTCTTTTATAGTTCCATACAAATTTCAGGATTGTTTGTTCTAGTTCTGTGAAAAATGCTGTTGGTATTTTGATAGGGATTGCATGGAATCTGTAGATAGCTTTGGGTAGTATGGACATTTTAACAATACTAATTCTTCCAGTCCAGGAGCATAGTGGTTCACTTCCTTGGTTAAATTTATTCCTAGGTATTTTATTATTTCTGGTGTAGTTGTAAATGGAATTGTTTTCTTAATTTCTCTTTCTAGTACTTTGTTATTAGTGTATAGAAATGCTACTGACTTCTAGGTATCCTGCAGTTTCACTGAATTTATTCTAGTAGTTTTTTGGTGGAGTCTTTAGGATTTTTTATGTATAATGTCATGTCATCTGCGAATAGTGACAGTTTAACAGCTTCTTTACCAGTATGGATGCCTTTTATTTCTTTTTCTTGTCTGATTGCTGTAGTTAAGACTTCCAGGACCATATTGAATAAAAGTGGTGAGGTTGGATGTCCTTGTCTTGTTCCTGATCTTAGGGGAAAAGCTCTCAGTGTTTCACCATTGAGTATGATGTTAGCTGCAGGTTTTTCATATATGGCTTTTATTATGTTGAGATATGTTCCCTTTAAACCCACTTTGTTGAGAGTTTTATCATGAGTGGATGTTGAATTTTGTCAGATGCTTTTTCTGCATCTGTGAGAGGATCATATGATTTTTATTCTTTGTTTTGTTGTGGTATATTATGTTGATTCATTTGCAAATATTGAACCATCCTTGCATCTCCCTGAATAAATCCCACTTGATTGTGGTGAATGATCCTTTTAATGTGTTGTTGAATGTGGTTTGCTTATGTTTTGTGAGGATTTTTGCATCTTTGTTCATCCAGGGATATTGGCTGCTAGTTTTCTGTTTTTGTGGTGTCTTTGTCTGGTTTTGGTATCAGAGTAATACTAGCCTTATAGAATGTATTTGGAAGCTTTCCTTACTCATCTATTTTTTGGAATAGTTTGAGGAGAATAGGTATTAACTATTCTTGAAATGTTTGGTAGAATTCAACTGTGACTCCATCTCATCCTGGGTTTTTATTTTTTGGTTATTGATTCAGTTTTTTATGCTAATTTGGCCTGTTTAGATTTTCTATTTCTTCCTGATTTAGTTTTGAAAGATTGTATCTTTCTAGGAATTTATCCATTTCTTCTAGATTGTCTAGTTTGTTCGCATATGATTTGGGTAATATTTTCTTATAGTCCTTTGTATTTCTTGGTGTTGATACCTCTCCTCTTTTCTGATTTTGAGTCCTTTCTCTTTTTTTCCTGATCAGTCTGGCTAAGGGTTTATCAATTTTGTTTATCTTTTCAAAGAACCAGCTCTTGATTTTATTGATTTTTTTATTTTTTACTTAAGAATTTTTTTTTTTTAATTTATTTAAGTAATCTCTACACCCCTTGTGAGGCTTGATCTCAACAACCCCCAAGGTCAAGTCACATGCTCTTCTTACTAGGCAAGCTAGGTGCCCCTTACTGATTTTTTTCTATTGTTTTTAAATTTTTATGTCATTTATTTCTGCTCTGATCTTTATTATTTTCTTCAACTCACCTTGGACTTTGTTCTTCTTTTTCTAGTTCCTTTACGTGCAAGTGTAGGTTATTTGAGCTTTTTCTTATTTCTTGAGGTAGGGCTGTATTTCTGTATATTTCCCTCTTAGAACTGCTCTTGCTGCATCTCAAAGATGTTGGATTATTGTGTTTTCATTTTCATGTGTCTCCATAACTCATTTAAGTCATTTAGTCTTAAGTACCAAAATTGAGTATCAGGTAATAGTGATAGAAAGACTTAATTTCTGATGGCTGTGTAGTAACCCGTGGGAAATGAACTGATTTTGACTCAGGTGAACCCTCATAAACATTCTGGTTACTGCTTATCTTGATAGAGTTAATTCAGAAACTGACTCCTGAAAACAAAAGCTGAGTATGACTTTTTAATTGGCAATTTTCTTATGGTAAAGAATTATGGTCCTTTGTGTGAATGAATTAGAAATAAAAATTTAGATTATTTCCCTATTTATCATTCTTTATTTTTTTATTTTTAAAGATTCTATTATTTGACAGAGAGATTGAGGGATAACACAAGCAGGCAGAGCAGCAGGCAGAGGGAGAGGGAGAAGCAGGCTCCCCACTGAGCCAGGAGCCCGATGTGGGGCTTGATCCCAGGTCCCTGGGATCATGACCTGAGCCAAAGGCAGACGCTTAACCGACTGAGCCACCCAGGCGCCCCACTATTTATCATTTCTTAAACATTCATTTATATTATTGATATAATTCACATACCATAAGTTTGTCCCTTTAAATTGTATAATTCACTGGTTCTTAGTATATTCACGAAGTTGTACAGTCATCACCATTTTCTAATTCCCTTAAACTCTATGCACATTAGTAGTCATTACCCATTTCCCTCTCCTTTTATCCCTTGGAAGCCAGTAATCTTTCTGCCTTTATGGATTTGCCTATTCTCGAAATTTCATATAAATGGAATCCTATAGCATGTAGCCTTTTGAGTGTGGCTACTTTCACACAGCATGTTTTCAGGGTTCATTCATGGTGTAGCATGTATAGTACTTCATTCCTTTATTCTTTAAAAATACTCCATTGTACAGATATACAACATTTTGTTTATCCGTCCATCAGTTAATGGATACTCGAGTTGTTTCCACTTTTGGGCTCTTAAGAATAATGTTGCTATGAACATTCATGTACAAGTTTTTTATGGTCACATGTTCCCATTTCTTTTGGGTGTATGCCTTGAGTTTGTAATTCTTGTTGCTGTTCCTTTTGTTAGTGATTTTACTAAACTAATTCCACAAATTTTGTACTCTTTGTCATGGTTGGCCACTGAAATCTCTGATTAGTTAGCTTAATGGTCATCTTATTATTAGAGCTTTCCTTAAATGCCTTGATCTAATAAGTCTCCCAGCCTTTGCTGAGTGACTGTGTGTGCATGTTGGAGTATGTCTTCATTGCTCCAAAGAGAAGCTTATAACTCTGATTTAGTCTTCACTCTGCATTAGCAGAGAGCCTCAAAGTCAGCCAGTGATTAGAAATGAGAGTCTTCTTGGGCAAGGACACAGCCCTGCATATGTGCATGGCCTTCTTGAGTCCCAGGAATATATCAAGAGTATTTCAAAGACCTCAGTGGAACTCCTATTCCTGAACTTTTCATTTTAAGGTTTTTGGTTAGCTTCTTGTTTGCTCCAACTCTTACTGCCTCTTTAGGCAGCTGGGATGTCACTGTTGCCATTGGTTGTTTTGACAAATGTCCTGGGGAGAAGGCTATTTGCAGTGAGGGAACTCTTAATCAGGTCAGAAAAAGACAAGGCCTGCCAAATGGAGATTTCCAGGGAACTTCCAGACATGTCAAATAATGACAGTTCTTTGAGGATAGGACTTTTGGAGAATTCTGAACCTATTCTGCTCTAACTCTAAACCTATCTCCCCCTTAGTGGTTGCTAGGTTGCTGGTTTTCTGGGCTACCATGATTGTGAGACTGTTGGTTTTGTGAGACTGTTGGTTTTCAAGGCTACCATAGAAATAGGGAAAGGGAGATGGATATAGGGTAACTTAAAATTTCTCAGATCTCACTGTTGTTACTGAGATCAGCTACTTTCTTGAGTAAATACTTCTCAGATTGTTGCAGGCTTTTGGTTAATTTCCAGGGTTCTGGAAAAGTTGATTTTGGTGATTTTTGCTAGTGGTCTGAATGCTTTCATGTAAGAGTGAATTTTTGGAGTTCATTCAGAAGTGCTCAGCTTCCCTATTTGTCATTAATATTTTTAAAAATGTTAGATATATAATGTCTTCTGTTTCTGTTGAAAAAATTAATATATCACATTTTTATTACTAAGCCTTTGGTGCTTAGTATGATACAGGAAATAAACACATTAAATAAATGACAAATACATAAAATATGAAGACTAACATTAATTTATTATTCTGCGTTTATTGAACATTTACATTGTGTTGGGTAGTGGAATACAGCCAAATAAGGCATGGTCCCTGTTTCAAGGAGCTCTGAGTTTGGTGGGTAAGATTAAGAAAAAAATCAACACCTATAAGAAAGTGTGAGTGTTAAAATAGAAAGATCTACTAGAAGCTGTAGAAGATTCATCTTTTTATCCTCCTCAGGGCCTGGCACACCATAATTTCTCACTTGGACTATTTCACCAGTATCATCAACATCATCATTATTTTTGTCTTTTCAGTTTCCATATCACAAGCAAGATGATCTTTACGGAATGCAAATTAGATCATGTCACCCCCGTCTCTGTAAAGTCTTTCAGTGATTTTCATCAAGCATAGATTGTAGTCCCAGAATCTCTCTTCTAGCCTATAGCTCTCAGAAATATTTGATAGCTTTTGCCCCTCCAACCTATAACTCCTCTTTTCAGGATAGTGGCCTCAGTCCCGTTCTTGGAATATGGCACAACTCTTTCTTGTCTCAGTCTTCACATACATTGTTTTTTTTGTGCTGGGAATACCTGTTTCCTAGCTCTCTGCTCCCACCTGACCTCTAATCAGTCTGATATCTGCTTAAATATTACTTAGTAGCTTCCCTAACTACATGGCTGTCATTCTGATTTATATATTCTTATTTTACCCTGTGTTTTCCTCTTATAATCTTTATCACAGGATTTTCATATTTGTATATTTGAAACCATATATTTATTTTTGTGAATATTTGTTTTATCTGTATTTAGCTTAGGATATAATCTCTGTGAGGAGGAGTGTCTTTTTGCCACAGTATACCCTTAGTTAATATTCATAAGTGAGACAATCAGTCAATAGAAAGCATTCAAGCAAAATATATATTGATCTGAATTTAGCTTAGAGGGTGCCTGGTTCTACCATGTAGCAATGCTTGTGCAGTCTCGAAGGAATAGTACATGTTAGATGAAAAGGGGTGGGAAGTTCTTGGATGGCAATAGTAACATCAAGTGCAAAGGCCCAGGAGTATGAGAAAATAAGATTTAGGAGACTGATTGTCAAACTTTTTGGTTTTAGTACTCCTTTACAGGTCTTAAAATTGAGGATTCCAAATAGTTGTGGGTTTTGTTTTTTTAAAGATTTTATTTATTCGAGATGTAGAGATAAAGAGAGCATGAGCAGTGGGAGAGGGAGAGGGAGAAGCAGGCTCCCTGCTGAGCAAGGAGCCCGATGTGGGGCTCGATCCCAGGTTCCTGGGATCATGACCTGAGCCGAAGGCAGACGTTTAACCATTTGAGCCACCCAGGCTTCCCAAGAGTTGTGTTTTTTAATGAAGGTTATATTAATATTTATCATATAAGAAATTAAAACTGAGAAACTTAAAAAAAAACACTTAATTCACTTAAAAATAGCAGTAAAGCTACTACATTGTTAATCTAAATAGCATATCTTTTATGAAAAATAAACTAAAAAATGGTAACAAGAGTGGTATTATTTTACATTTTCAAATTCTCTTAAGTGTTGGCCTTACTCAGAGACAGCAGCTAGGTTCTTAGTCTACTTCTTCATTCAGTCTGTTGCAATACGTTGTATTAGTTGCAGTCTATGAGGAAAATCTGACACCACTCAAATAAGTGATTGGAAAAGGAGGAACATTTTAACAGTCTTTCAGGTAGTTGTGGATATTCTTCTTTGATATTAAGCCAAAGCTTAACTTGTTAGTTACAGTATCAAATGAGAAAACATCTCGGTGTACTTTTGTACTTTATTACATTAAAATCCATTGTGTTTTTTTGTGTTTTGTGGATATTTTACCCGTGTATGATTCTGAAACATCATGCATTGGTCATTTTGAAAATAACCGGGTTATTGGGTTAAAAAGATTTTCCAATTGGTGACATGTTCATTATAAAGTATTAGAAATCATGTTGATTTTTATCATTATAAAGTTTTTAGAGAATCTTTGAGTAGTAGGAAGCTGTGAAACTCATGGAGGCAGATACAAATTATATAAAATTCTAAAACTTTGCTTGAAAGGTTGAACTTTATCATTGGCAAAAAAGTACTGCCAGTTGTTTCCTTTGAAGTGACAGGCTCATTTTACTAATTTTTCAGAAAATGTCAGCCAAATACCCAAGTCTGAATAATCATAGTTATTCAAGGGTGGGGGTTAATTAACTTATCCAGGGTCACACAGAGAACAGGTCTTTCTGATTCTGTTATATTTTATTGCCCCATGTCTAAATTATTTGGGACTTGCCAAAGCATGTTCTTACAATAGTGTATTGTGGTATTTTTCCTAGAGAGCATGAATGGTTTAAACAAGATTTGCCCAGTTACTTATTTCCTGAAGACCCCTCCTATGATGCTAACGTCATTGATGATGAGGCTGTGAAAGAAGTGTGTGAAAAATTTGAGTGTACAGAATCAGAAGTAATGAACAGTTTATATAGTGGTGACCCTCAAGACCAGCTTGCAGTGGCTTATCATCTTATCATTGACAATCGGAGAATAATGAACCAAGCCAGTGAGTTCTACCTCGCCTCTAGTCCCCCAACTGGTTCTTTTATGGATGATAGTACCATGCATATTCCCCCAGGCCTGAAACCTCATCCAGAAAGGATGCCACCTCTTATAGCAGACAGCCCTAAAGCGAGATGTCCATTGGATGCACTGAATACAACTAAGCCCAAATCTTTAGCTGTGAAAAAAGCCAAGTGGCATCTTGGAATCAGAAGTCAAAGCAAACCGTATGACATTATGGCTGAAGTCTACCGAGCTATGAAGCAGCTGGATTTTGAATGGAAGGTAGGAAATTGTAGTATATTAAGATCATTTGTAAAAGTTTGCTTTTTTGTTTTTTTGTATAGTAAGCTGCTCTGATCTACTGAGTTGAGTACTTAGGTCAATAAAAAAGTTGTTTTTGATTTAGATACAAATTTAGTGGTCTTGATGCTTCTGAATCATAAACCCCATTTTTCCATTAATACCAAGTGCATTCAATACTAAACAAAATTCTGAAAGCATGAAGAATTGTTGATGCTGAGGACCTACAATATTTTTTTATTTAGAGTCTAGCATTCTTGGCCAAGAAACAGAAAGTATTCAACCTGAAATCACCTGAGAAAATAGTCCACCTATTTCCACCTGCATCATAGCAATAAAAAGTCATGTGTCTTTGAAGATGCTATGTTTTTACTTTTCTCTCTTTTCTTTTTCCCACTAGCTATAACAGCTAGGGGTCAATACAAATGATACCATCAGGACATATTTATTCAAAAAACAAGTACCTTTCTCTAGGTTAAAAAAAAAATCTCTTTTATTTGGCTAGTGCTTTTAATCCTTGGTTATGTATATTTTTCTTACTCTTAGCCCCCAATTTTTTTTTTTTAAATAGTGCTCAAATTCATTGCAATTCTATTTGAGTATATGTGGGAGGAAAAGCATTTTTCTCATTTCAGATATCTTTTCACTCTTGTTCCTTTCTTGAGGATTATGAATGTATTTTTAAAGGAAGAATTTTTAAAAATGTTCAGATATACTCTGTATATATTCATTTGACATGTTTGAAACATCTGTCATTTCCATTTTATTTGTACATGAAATGAATAAACAAGATAATAGTTCCTTAAAACCATTTAAAAACCAGATCCCCCTTTGCTTAAGTAATTTAGTTAAGAGAGACACTAATGTCTTTAAAATTTCATACAGAAAAGAATTTGGAACTCATTTGATAGATGTTTTGAAAACCCAGAATCATCTTTATCTGAGCTGCAGTTTTCTTCTCTTCAAAAGGCAAATAATACTTCTTCACAGGATTATTGGGATACATAAGTTTTGTGACAGTACCTGTTTATATTGCCTAATGCAAACCATTAACATGTTAGTTCTCTTTTATTCCTCCTACTCCATATTAATAGGTAAAGGTATTCAAATTGAGGCTGGGTGACCAGAATTATTGTTGACATTTGAGAGCAGAGGCATCGCTAGAATGAAGGCTAGACTGTATATAATCTCTGAGTTCCCTTTATATTTCTGTTGATCTGCACAGACAATACTATTAGTGGAGATTAAATAAATACTAAACTGTCATGTAATATAAAAAGATCATTCAGGAATTCCTTCTCTACCCCACCTCTGTCCATTATTTCTTTTGATATTCTTTGCAATAACATAAGGGAGATATTGTGTAGTTTTTTTTTTAACATTTTTCCTTAAAAAAGATTTCACATTTTAGGTAGTGAATGCATACCATCTTCGTGTAAGAAGAAAAAATCCAGTGACTGGCAATTATGTGAAAATGAGCTTACAACTTTACCTGGTTGACAATAGAAGCTATCTTTTGGACTTTAAAAGCATTGATGGTAAGGAAGCTATGCAGGCATGAGCCCTGAGAAGATAAAACTTGGCACTAGTTGACAAGATGTTAAAATCATCTCAAAGACATGGTGGGTAGGTCTTCTATACTGGTTCTTAAGTAATCTAGAGTTAACTAAAAATGCAAGTGAAGTGAAAAGGATTGAAGATGTGGACTTTCTCTAACCCAGCACCTCTCTAAAAGATGTGCCTCCTTGGCATAAAAAACTCACTTGGAGTGTTGGCTGTGGAGCAAAAGTAAGGAATAACAGGGAGGCAATTTTAAAATTGCCGGATGTTAAGTTCTTTGTCACATTTCTTCATTCATATTTTATTATTGTTAGGATTGTAATATCTAAACTTCTCCATTCATCAACTTCCCTCATCCTGGTTGGCCAAATGAGCCTCTCCCTGTATTCAGGTTGGATTTTGATGCCCCAGCCATTCAGGAGACGAAGGAGTCAGGGAGGTATGGGTTGTGTCTAAGTATTTAGTGAGTGCCGAAGTCAAACTCCCATGAACCAAATATGCTTGTTCAGTTCAGAGGCCCAAGTGGGATAAAAACAGTAAACCAGGGGTCAGGTGCTGGATAGAACCAGAGGAGAACTGAGTTCAGAGTTAGGGAAGTTGTTTTCAATACAACAGTTACATTTTATTCTTGAGCTACCACGGGCTGTCTTCAGAATTACCATCATCAGAATTATCTAGCATTCTTATTAAAATGCAGATTGTTGGGAACTACCCCCGGATCTACCAAGTCAGAATTTATTTCTAGAGGTGAGTCCTGGGAAACTGGAAATCTTTATTTTTAACAAGATTTTCCTCGCCCCATTCCCAGGCAGTGTGTACTGAAGGTTCAGAACCACTGTATAATGGTAACTTTTATTTTTATTTTAATGATATTTTTTGTTAATATGCTGCAAGAAGATATCCTTCAGGGATCTGCTTTCTTCAAATGGGATATCAGTTTTGATTTCAAGGCTGACGCCAAATACTGTGTTGAGAAGGATTTAGGGGTGACATTTTGACTGTTAGTGTTGTGGTTGATGAGTGATGTCTGTTATAATTGTGGGAGGAAAGGGGTATTGCCACCCCTGCTCTTAAAACTCTGAAACATGACATCTGTGAAGTTGCCCTTGTTCAGATATGTTTACTCAGTTTTCTGAATGTAGCATCTTCATAGGACTTGGGCAAATATACCGTTCATATAAATTGCTCTTCTTTCATCCATTTCAGATGAGGTGGTGGAGCAGAGGTCTGGTTCTTCAACACCTCAGCGTTCCTGTTCTGCTGCTGGCTTACATAGACCAAGATCAAGTTTTGATTCTGTAACTGCGGAGAGCCATTCACTTTCTGGCTCTCTCACTGGCTCTTTGACCGGAAACACATTGTCTTCAGTTCCACCCCGCCTAGGCAGTCACACCATGGATTTTTTTGAAATGTGTGCCAGTCTGATCACTACTTTAGCCCGTTGATGATGTTTCTCTAGTTTCTGTCTTTCTGTTATTGCACTGTGAAAATCAGATAGATTCTTGAAATTGTTATTTTACTTATGGATATCTTATACTCTGGAATACTGATGGAGAGTCATGAATATTTCCAGGGGACAGTCAATGCCATTGAAATTACTGAAAACAAAACATCTGACATTTTATTTACCTGTAGACATCTGTAATTCTATTTTGCCTATGATAAATTTATAGAGGCAGTATCTTTAATTGGTGAACATTGATGAAGATTATTGTTACTTTAAAATTGTGAGTTCACTACAGATGATTAATATACCTTCACTGGTGAATCATCTCATCAGAGGGTGGTTTGGCAACACCTCTTTGCTTAACTATTTAATGTAGGTAAATCCACTTTATTTCCTAAAGTTCAGCAGGCTTTAAGCTGTGTTTATGCACCCAGTTCTCTTGCACAAGATAAAAACAAAAAACAAAAAACAAAAAACAGCCATTAATAAGATGATATTTAAATGTTGAAGCCTTAAAGGCTGGCCCCAAAAATTTCAGAAGCCAAGTTCTAGTAGTTTTAGCTTTTGCAAATACTGCCTAGTGTTGAATAGAAGGGCTGTGGTCCTGAAACAGGTAACTGATTTCCAGGTTCATTAAAAACAGCTTATAACCAGCTAGAGGTTTTATTTCGAGATTTCCTTGAATAACATTTATCTTAAGAGTCTTCAGTGTTCTACTCAGTATTGGAACATCTGGAATTGGAACAATTTTTGTGTTTTTCATAAACTTAACATTTTTTAAAAAACTTAGCATCATTTTAAAATATGCCTTCAGAACTACCTTTCTCAAATTCTTTTTGGCTCTATTTATTTTTGTATTTTACCAAGCATGATAAAATAGTTAAATGAAACAAAGCAAAATATCAACAGTCCCTTAAAAGAGAACTCTTATCTTTGATTTAATGTATGTGGTGGTGGGGAGTGTGTGCGTATGTCCCCCTGCATCCCACAATGCTAATTCCTCATCTGAAGTTCAAGTTTGTCATCACAGCCACCCCTCTCCCTCACCTTCCCACCACCACTTACTTTGTTGTTTGATCCTTGGTGGCTGATTGACTTAGCTTTTAAATCTTTCTGGTTCCCTTTCTTTGTTCTATATCTTGGTTGCTAGCCATCCAGTTTGAAAACACTGTTTTGGCCCTAAGGGCTTTTGTGTACTTCCAAAGCTTGTTAGGCTGTGACCTTCACTGTTGAGGCTGTTAGGATAGGGAAGCCTTAAACCTTTAAAAAAAAAAATCTCTCTTGAATAAATGTATGTGTTGTTTACATATATACATATATGTATTCACACACCAGTGCTTTTAAAGGAAAACTAGTTTCTTTGTTTTGCTTCGTGCAGGTTTTTTTTTTAAAGATTAAAAAGAAACCTGTATACAGCAGAGTTAGCTCATTGCTTATATTGCTTTAGTGAAAGTATTTAATTTTTAAATTATGTGTAATTTATCTAATTTGTATTTATTTATGTTTAATATGTTGTAATTAACACTCTCATTCACCTGACTTACCCTAGAAAAGATTAAGCTCTTGAAAACAGGTTTCTCTTTGCCAAAAATAATGTTTTCTACCAAGAAGCAAATGAAAATCTTTGGCCAAGTTTCTCTTATGTTTATGGAAGATAAGCATATCTGTCTTTAAGTAGTTTTGAGTCAGGAGTTTGCAGTGTGTCACATCATATTGGTTTATAGAACTTTTTAAAATTGGTGTTAAGTAACTTTTAAGTCTGACTTCTTAATATCAAAAGGAATCTTTGCTTGCCAATTTGGGAAAAAGGGTGGGTTTGCATTAAACTGTTTTAAGTTTAAACCTTTGAAAGATTGCCATCTAGTGGCACCAAAGGGTACTTTTTGTGATTGTTTTTCTAGGGATAAGCAGTCCTGCTGTGCATTATAGATAGGGCATAATTTTGACCTCTCCAAACGTGTAAATACCTCTTTTGGGAAAAACAGGGCCACCTCATAATATTTGCTTGACTATGATTGACCTTATAAATAGGAATTAATCTGATGATTCCTTATCCCCAATGACAAAATCCCTAACAATTTTGAAGGTGGAGAAACAACAGCAAGGAAGGAAATACAGTAGCATTTTAGCTTTGTTAGCCGAATAAAAATTACTTTATATTGGTGATTATCATGTTTATTGAGAATTAAAAATATTATATACTGTTTTCTCATTCTTGCCAGTGTTTGTGAATATCTACATTTTGATGGTTATCTGTTGAATTTTAGGAGAACCAGGGTTGCAGTTTTGGTTCTTGGATGCTTATGTTTTTAAAGCATAGCTACTCTGAATCTAGAAGGCATAGTAAATTGCTTTATATAGAGAAGATTTCAGGAGGCTCAGTCCAGCATAATAGGGGCTGGAACATTGTCAAAGGAGGTTTTTGTTACTAATGGGCAGAAAGAGGGAAAGAATCAGTTGCTAAATTCCCACATTTCAGTCTTGTAAGCTGGTTAATTGTGGATGTGGTATGTGGTTGTTAGATCTTGGGTGGGAAGAATTTCTTCAAGTTAAGATTTTAGAGGAGAGCTTCTATTATTAGGTTATAAAGACTTAGCTACATCATGGAAATGGACTCCATATGGTTCTATAATAGCATTTCCCGCACTGTATCCCTGAGGTGCTCTGCTGAAAAACGAGTCCATTGAGCAAGTTTGGAAAATGTTATATGCCATACTCCTGCTTGAGGATGACAATGGATATGAGCATTAAAGACTTTGAAAAGTGCTTCAGTGAAAAAAAGAAAACTTTAACCCTGCTTTGCCCAAATTAATTTAACTACTTTTAAGCTTAATATCCCATGGGAAAAGGCAAATTTGGAAAATACTATTTTAGGAAAATTATTGTCCCAGGTTGCTATAATTAGTTATATATGTAATACATATATTACATATATAATAATACATATGTAATTATATAAGTATAATTAACATAGGGAAGAAGAGAATTAAGATACCTTTTCTTATCAGTTGTAGAGAATATGGTTCAGAATCAGAAAAATTTCATTTTAACTGTGGACATACTCATTTTGAGCAAATGCTGGACTAAACAGAATTTCGTATGTCCGTGATGTGTTTCATAGCACCTTGATTTTCTTAATCAGGTTGTGGTATTGTTTGGGAGCAAAATTTATTTTGTTGTGTTTAATGGATAGCTGAAACACCTTAAACCAGATTACTTGTAAAAAAAGGCCTAAGAAATTAGTGACTAATGCTTATGGCTCTGCGGCTCTGTGGGCAGTGAGTCTATGACATTGATTCTCACTTTCAAAATGTATAGTCAGTGAACATTTTCTAAGTACAGGACACCATACTTAGATCTAATTCCTGGAATCTTTAACGTAGGAACAGATAACAAATTGAATAGGGAGGTAGGCAAACTATTTCAAGTCGGGTTTTTGTTTTGATCAACAAACTTTTGGCACACTTTTGTAACCTCAAGTGTTTGCACTCCTTAGTATTAGCCGTCTATACTAGGAGCCTAAATTAATCAGAAGTACCAGTATTTCTCTGTCAGGGAACTGGCTATATGTTTTACAGACAATTCTCCATTTTCTGCGAATAGGGTTCCCATGACAGTTACATAATTGTGGGCTTGCTTTTTCTTATTCTCTAGCCAGTTTGTACTCAGGGAACATAAATTGTTTGTTTATATTAGAAGAGACATAATTGAAATAATCGTAGACAACTGTTACAGGTTTTTTGACTATTTGAATTTATCTGTAGCTTCTATTAATGTGCAGTATACTGAGTTAATATAAGCACTGTACCTTCCATTTATAAAATATAAAAGCTTAGAATGTGCCTACCACAGACACAGTATGTTTGTCTATTCACTGGTTAATAATTTAAATCCTGTTACTGGCTGTGAAATCCCAATATCTAAATGCTAACCATGTTCACAGTTTTGTCTGGTTTTGTTTTTAAAGAACTCCACCTTTTCACTCTGGCATTTCTTTACCTGCTCATTCTGTCACTCTGTGACTTTTTAAATAGGGAAGGTAATTTATTTTAATAATAGTTCTCAGAGGCTGTATTAGAAATTCTGGATGAGGGATATGTGCAATTGGTTAGTAAGTCACACCTATGTTGGACCTCAGTTAGTAACCTCTAAAGTGGGAGGAATAGTCTAAAAGGCCTCCGAGGTACCTTTGAAAGCTTTAAAGTTCTGTCTTTGCTTTTTCGTGTGATTTGTATCAGTGTTCACTTTTTATATATTTAGAGATTTTATACTAGTGTGAATGTTCTGTATTTGGTGAGGCATTTTAAAGGTATATACTTGAAAAAAAAATTTAAATACAGCTGTCCTCTGGAATATAAATGGCAAAAATCATCCAGAAAACCAAACACATTAAAACATGTGCACTTGGCATAAGCAAAATATTACTAATTTGAAGTATTGGAAGTGTTCCATACATTTTTATAGTGATTTTTAGATCCAGAGACCGTATCTATTAACTTAGTTAATACACTTCAGTAACCTTGTGAGGTATAACCATTTTCCAGTTGAGGAAGCAGGACCACAAAGCTCTTCATAAAGCTTTAATGGCATACAAGTATTCAGCGATGATCACTGCTTTTTCTATGCCACCTCCCTCTAGGGGAGAACAGTCTGAATCACCGAAACATCTGAGGGTTAGATAATAAAGATAAACACAGATGTATTGCTTTCAAGTCTTAGAGTGACATAATGTAGTCTTAACTGTATATTTCTTAGTTTAATTATTTGAACCGGTTGATTGTACTAAATAAAATTATCTGAAGTATTTATGATTAGCATACTGATATTTATAAGTACTTCTGAGTTATTGAGGGTGCTTATAAAATACTGAAGAAACTTTTAGGCATGATTCTTTAATTTTATTTACATGATCCTTGTAGCATAGTCTTTTATAAAAAGTAAAACTAGCCCCAGCCCCTGTCTTAAATTATCATAGTTTTTGACTGTTATCTGAATTGGGCTTATCTAAATTTCATATGCAGATTGATGATTTTTCATTTTGTATGGGTATTTAGAAGATAAACACTGTTTTCATCGAGTATATCTCTGTTCACAAACTACCTATTATTGGCTTGACAGTCTCCCAAATCTTATAGAACTTTGAAATGTAATTTGTTTGATGAGCTTTAAAAATGGTATGTTACTTAAACAAGTTGCAGGCATCCTTACTAGCCTTTCCACATATAATCTTGATGGATTTGATGCAACTGTACAGTAATAGCATAAAGAACAGGACTCACAGTCTAGACTGGATTGAGTTTTAATTAAACTTTTTCAGCCATAACCTGATAAGAATCAGGCTGGGTCTAGAAGTTACCAGACTGTGGGCCTGTATTAACTTAGTCAGCCAGTGTTCCTGTTTACTGCCACCCTTGCAGAGCAGTGCCAGTTTGTAAGCCATGACTGTGATGGGGCTTTGGGTAACTATTCTTTATATCCAAAGCAGTTTAGATTTTATGGAAGTAGCTCATGATTATTTGGACAAGCAAGGTAGGTAAATTTCAATTACATTTAAAGTGCAATTAAGGAAACCCCAGAGTAGTGTGTTCTTTCTAGGAAAAAAAGCTTAAGTATTTGTAGGAATATCCTAGCATGAAAACTTTTCTGAACAGACACAGAGTTTTGACAAGGTTAACTACTTTGTGTTGATTTAAAATTTCAAGGAGGAATAGGAATGTTCTAACCAAGGAGAACTACATAGTTAGTTTTTTGCTGCTTATAAGCATTATTTCTCACAGCTCAAAATCCCTTTTAAGTTTTGTTACAAAGAAAGGCCGTTCTTCTAGACGAATAACATTTTCCTGAATGGGAAAAACAAAAACAAAAAGATCTATTGCTCTAAACAAAACACCTTAATTGTGCCTTCTCAAATTATAGGAATATTAATAATTAGTCAAAAATTTGTCTGAAGTCATTTTTTTAATTGCTCTCATTTTTCCTTAGTTCTGCCCTCCACAAATGGTTACATTGTTTGCTTTTGCCTGTTTGCTTTTCAGGCTCCTTTGGCCATACCTCACCCTATCACTGTCAGAAGCTGTTCACTGGATGTATTTTTCTTTTCCTTTTATGTTGCTTCACTTTTTAAGTCACTTTGGTGAAATTTTGGCTGCTTTCTCATGTTTTTAAAATGAATGCAGTGATTAACAGTCTTTACATTTCAACCCTTTAAAATGTTTGTAAAGGCAAGAAATAATGCAGAGCAAAGAACAAAAATCTAATTTGGAATTGAT